ATATATAAAAACAAAATCCTGAAATTTTAACTTCCCACCCAATTCCTAAAAAATCTCTCTTCCTAATAAAATATATTGATTTCTCCTTTCCCATTCGTACAATAATTCTGGGTTAAAATTTTATTCTTCTCTCAAAAGGTTGAATCCCGAACCCTAAAAAAGGAGAAGACTCAGTCCAATGGACCAGAAGGGGTTTGGTGAGCCAATTGAAATTCTATTCTAATATTATAAAATTGTGTAATGTTATTCCTATTCTAATCTATATCTATACTATATATCAGTGTTGCAAAAATCGCGTCGCTAGTCGCGGCGAGGAAGGCCGGAATTGGCCTCCTCCGCGGGCGTCTCGCCGGCTGAACCGGCAATTAATTTTTTTTTTTTTTTTTAAGTTGTAAAGTGTCAAAAGTTTGGCAAGGCATAGCTTTTGACTCGGTTGTCCGTTTTGGATAAATGTTTTTTTGAAATCGCGTATTTTTTCGAGATCTATCCACAGCAAACGCCGTAGGCGGTTTGGCCCACCAATTTCTAAAAAAAAATGATTTATTATATAGTTTCAAAGAAAAAACTATGAGAACCTTATGTTTTATTAATGAATTTTTAAATTTTTAATTAAAAAATTGTCTCGTGCATTATTTAATAATCTCTCTTTATAATTGATCAAATTATTTAATTATGGTAAATTAAGGAATAATTAATGATGGTAATAAAAATTCTAGAAGAATATTTAATTATTGTTATATTATTATTGTGACTTACGGAATACAATACAAGAATATTTAATTATGGTTATATTATTATTGTGTGCCTCACGACCATTATATACTGACAAAACTTGAAAAGAAACTAATAATAATAATAATAATAATAATAATAATAATAATAATAATAATAATAATAATAATAATAATAATAATAATAATATAAGTGGTAAAAATAATATCTAAAAGTAATTAAGTGTTAATAATAATAGTTAGAATATTAACGTAAGAATTATAACATAGAACAAATCGTAAAATTAATAACTATAGTATAGGATTAAATTTGGAATTGTCAGGAAAGATAAGCGACCTCTGGTGAAATTAACTCTTTATCGATTTAAATATTCTTAATATATTACAACAATTCCATTCCGTGCATCGCACGGGTGAAAATACTAGTTACTTTAAATTCCAGACTAGTCCCTTAATTCCCTTCCCTACTTTTGGTGGTTACCAATTCCTAAATTTCAATTGACAAGTACCATTGTTAATTAAGAATGACAATTTTCAATTCAAAATCTCAAATAATAATTAGCATCTTCGATCAGGACCTTCTGCTAATTAGCCATTACCATTATTTTTATTTTTTAATTGAATTCCCAAATCTCAATTAAAAGCTCTTAAGAGAGATGAACAATGTGATGATATTGATGGAACTAAATTGTATATTGAGCTAAAATTATTGCTTAGAGAGATTTTGTTGAAAGAAAAGATAAGAGCAATGAGTATATTGAATTCGTTGAAACAGATGGGTTATTTTCCAAATGCTACTATTGCATATCTAATATTATTGACTATCCCAATTATTGTTGCATCTGCAAAAAGGAGTTTTTCAATGTTGAAATTGATGAAATCTTACTTACGATATGAAATTTTGCATATTCTCAATATAAGAACATTGATTTAGTTTCTAGCAACTGGAATACTGGACTGACTGACTCAGATACTTAATCGACCAGTCATCTAGATAGAAAGCAGATTAATTTAAAGCGGAAGACTAAGGTAGAAAGTAAATCAACACATATGTTTGTCTACCCAGTTCGATACAGTGTGTATCTACATCTGAGGGACGATCACCAAGGCGTCCAATCCACTAAATCATAATCCAATGTACAAAGGTAGAGAAACAATCTCACCCAAGTGCCCCACACAAGGTCAGTACCCAATCTACAAAGGTTTAGTGGATTGTTGAAGTCGGAGAGCCACACATGCAGAAGTCCAATGAAATCCCTTCAATTGGAGAGCTAACTCTGATGCAGTCCGCTTCAATGACGCAGTCCCACGTTGTTCCCACAATTGAGTGATCTTCGCGTCCTACCGTTTAAGCAACGTTGATACTTCTCAAGTTCTTCTTCATAATCACCAAGAACTTATTGTCTTGAGAAGAGGCATGACAACCATAGATGTGGATTTTGTTTAGTATAGAGTGTTGCAGCTTCAATCAATGCAACCCTAATTCTTGAACGAATAAGGATATATATACTTCTTTGATTTGGACACTCTCTCCAAATATATCTTTGGTTGTAGATGGTAGAACTTTTTTGTGAAGAAGGAAATCATTAAGATTCGGTCCATACCTTTCACGCTGATTCGCTGATATTCTTTCTAAAACTGTCATCTCATAACCGCGTCCCATCTTTTTAGAAAACTTTCCTTTATCAGATCTTCAGTGGCTTGATCTAGCAGTGCGTCTGTTGATTGTACTGATCAGTCAGTCTTTTATAAGAATAAACAAACACCAAGCTAAGCCCTATCTTAATTTGACATAATAATATTGCCAATTATATGTTGGGGATTTTCTACACAAATAAAACACTAGCAAACTTCCCCTTTTGCTAATTATTTGGCAAAACAACTCAACTAAAGATATAGAAGTGCATAATAAAAACTGTCAAAGGAAATATTGTTTAATTTACAACCCATAAAGTCATCAGCACACAAGTCGTGCTGGAATAAAACAAAACATGGAGCAGATCAATTCTTCACAAAAAAAAAAGAAAAAAAAAAAAAAAAAAAAAAAAAACACGCCTAGACAGGGCCAGAAGGTACTTCATCCAAACACCATCACAATCACAAAAACTCCCCCTGAGTTATAGCACTTCCCCTTTTTGCCAAAGATAGACAAAGGAAACGTTAAGCATTCGAGGGACCTTCACTGTCAGACTTCACATTTTCACCAGCAGCAGACTTAGTCAAACTCATTCGGAGTAGAACCGTTACAAGTTCAGCGCGGGCCGCATTGAGCTGATTTGAGATAATATTACTCACAGTTTCCAGTTCAGACACACGAGCCTTCAATCGCAGAGACAGTTGCACATCTCGAGCATATGGAGTATCTTCAGCAGTAGCATCAGCCTCAGAGGTATGCGGAGGATTAACAGGTGTAACATCCCTGATGTGTTTGCCAGTCAACAGGCGTGGATCCACAGTATATAGGAGAAAAGGAGCAATGACTTCACTTGGCATCGGAATCAAGCCTTGGGAAGTTAGCACACCAAAGATGAGATTAGGATACGGAATTCGTACCTTCTGTTTCCTGGGATGTATCAAGGTGAGAATAAGATAGAAAATCCATCTCCCTAAATCAATGGTCATCTTGGTGCCAACTCAAAACAGAAGAGCAGCTAGAGGCTTTCCAACTGTATGAAAATGTGCTGATGGAAGCCAGTTGTGCAAAGTAATCCGGTGTAGAATAACAAACTTGGAGGTAAATTAAGAGCTCGACAGCGTATCATTATCACCAGTTGGCCAAACAGGTGCCAGTCCTCCTCCAATTTGGCTGAGAGCCTTGACCATATTCGTCACTTTGCAGGATTACCCTCTGCCTCGATACCTGAACCATACAGAGTGTCAGAGTCATACATCCGACGAATGATCCTTCTATTCCAGGTGACAATGACGATGAAAGAATTCTGGCTGAAGTCACCATCAATCGACTCAGAATGACGGGGGCTTACGGACTGTTCAGCAATAGTCTCAACAGACTGCTTTTGTGGATATTCAACTGGGCAATCCTCAACAGAGGGCTTATCAGATAGAGTAGACATAGGGTTAACAGAAACCATCGAACGATCAACATCCGTCGAATACACAACCAGACTCAATTTATCAATATTATCAGACTCGTGAACATTCCCCTCAGATTCAGTCTCAAGAACAGGTTTCGCAGACTCAGATTTTACAGTGGATAACTGGGGTGGATCATCAGATACAATAGGCTTAGCAGACAGTAATGGTCTTGCAGACTCTGGACTAATCACTACTACAGAAATCACTTTTAATGTCGGGGATATGACGTCGGTTAAATGAACAACCAAAGTTAAATATTTTTTATAATTTACATTTTTTTTTAAAAAAGACCTACAACATCGGTTTTGTCATAAAACCGACGTTGTAGGTCCATAAAATAAAAAAGAAAAAAAATAAAATACTATATGACGTCGGTTAGAAGTCTAACCGACGTCGTATATAATTCTTTTTTATTATTTTTTTTTTTCAAGGATTCGACATCGGATATTTCCAATTATTGAAGTTGTATCTTTTGTATTTTCTTTAAAAAATATTTCAAATCTGAAAGAAATTAAAGCGCCATCGTCGATTATCTAACGAAAAAAATAAACCTAGCACTCCACAGCAGCCGCAGCTCGCACTCCACAGTTGCCCCACCGGTCCACCGCATTGCACAACCGCCGTCTACCGCGTTGCACAGCTGCTCGCCATTGCGCCGCACAGCCAAAAAAACGAGAGATACGAATTCTGTTCCGATGGAGCTTACGATCGAGATGCGGTTGAAAGATCTGGAGTCTTGATGCCGATTGTGAGAATCTTAGAGAATGAGTAGGTGAGTTTGGCTGGAATTTAGAGAAGCGTCTCCTTAATTGGGCGATTTGGGCGAAATAGGCCGTCATTGGAGCGAATTAGAGCGGAGATTCGAACGAGTCTTCGTATTGACGGTGAGGCATAGGTTGGATCGGTGAATGCAGGAACTATTCCCATACGATTCTACACACTCCGCTCTGTGAAACTCAAACTTGGTTTGGTCAGTTAATTTAATAACCGCACGTCATTTTCTTCATTCTTCACTTTAATTTCTTGCATCCTAGCTAATCAATCCTAATTATTATTCATTTTATAATTCTGTTCAGTTCTGTTCTGTATATATGTATGTTTTTACACATCTTATAGTTGATCCATATCAAGATTTGATGATTAGTTTTGCATTATCATTGAAGGAGATTGACCATGAATTCCAGGTCGTTTTAATTTGCATGCAAAGTTGGGTGAATAAATTTGCATATATGTATCTCTAATGGTCTTAACATTATATATATTGTATGTTTATCTCTAATCTAGGTGCTCCCACTAGAAGATGGTCCTTTGAGTTCTGTATGGAGAAACGAAGGAATTTATGTCAGTACCATAGATACTAATGGAAGTCTGAAAGTAGACTGGCTAAAGTATGTCTCGATCTGCCTTTTTTTAACTAACATTTGATAGTTTTGTGTTTTTGAACTAAAGACTAGTACATTGATTGTTTCTTGTTTTCTTTTGTTGAACACCGTATGTACCATTGCAGAAATGAGAAACATTCTTCTGTGAATTTAATTTTAGACTACCTGAAATCGATCTGCTTGAGTACAATCCAATTCTTACCCATGTCCATATATTTCTTTAAACATGTAGTCTGCTTTTGTTGTGAGAATTCTCCATATATAGAAGTTTGTGATTTCTGTTTGATGTTGTTATCCCCTTAGGATTTGAGCTGACTGTGCTATGCAGGTGAAAAAGGTTGAAGAAACAAGTGAACATCTTTTATCAGCCCTCAAGGCAGAGAAGTAAGAACTATAGTCATCCCTCAACAAAGAAAAATTGCAAATGCTTCAGTTGAAGCAAGAGTTAGCAGATGCGTAGACTCGCAACACCGACCTATACAAGGTAACTACTGCTAACCTGCCACAATTTGAACTGAATATGGTAAAAGTGCAGATTGGGTGTTTATTATTGCCTCCCATATCAGCAGGAGCTAGATTTTTTGTTATCCAAGATTTTTTCAATTATTTTCTCTTTCCTGTTAATTCAAGGTCAGAATTATCATGTTGTTATAAAGCTAATGCTACTAGAAATAAATGTTGTGGTTGATGGTTCTGACTTGTAATGCATTAATTGCATTTACAGGAACTTCAATCTGTATGGGGTCTGATTGCGGCTGAACAATCAAGATGTTCTAAACTCGAGGTATATCCCTCTTATGATTTTAAGCTTGATTGGTTAATATTTTTATCCGGGGATGAAAATTTTAACCACTTTATTACACCTTGTTTTGGTATATATTACTGCAAGCATTAGTTCTCTTCTGTACTTCCAATGGAAATAGTTGAACCTAGGATACATTAGAAGAACTTGTTCCTTGTTACTTATTTTACTATTTCTTTTTCTAAATCCATTAGTTTTACATTTTAGTATTTATATTTACTTTTCTCATGAGCTGTGTATTATGTTATATGACATTCTAATGCTCCCATTATCATTATTATATATGAAACTTCGATAAATTTATCATGCAGTTAAATGGTTTGTGCTAGTTAGGACATTTATTTAATTTACTAGGATAAATAAATGGTTTGTTTGTTAATGATAGTCTGCACATTATGCAGTTAAATGGATTGTATAAAGGATAAATTTACTATCCAAATTTGAAGAGGATGGTCTATTCTAACGGGGACTTTTGTAATGAAGTTACTATGCAAGCTTAGAGTGTAATGCAATGATAAATTTGATATGCAATGCAAGGATAAATTTTTGATTCAGAGCACAGCCAGTCAGCCAGAATGGCTTACCATTTATACCATTTCAGATTTTATTATTTTTTTAAAAGAGATACGACGTCGGTTTTTTTGAAAACGCCGACGTCGTATCTTTATTTTTTTTTTTTTTTAAAGAGATACGACGTCGGCTTTCTTGAAAACGCCGACGTCGTATCTCTATTTTTTTGTTAAAAAATAAGCTAAGACGTCGGTTGTTTATAAAAAACCGACGTCTTAAGTTAATTTTAAAATTAAAAAAAAAATACGACGCCGGTTTTTTTAACCGACGTCGTATCATTTACTTACAACGTCTGCTGTGATGACGTCAACAGAAAAACGACGTTAAAAGTGTAAAAAACCGACGTTAAAAGCAGTTTTGTAGTAGTGAATATCAGACTTCTCAATAGGTAGCTCAGACACAACATCAACAGATAGCAACTCAGAAGGCTTATCAAGAGAAATTTCAATTGGAGTGTCAGAAGTATTTGACCTGTTTTGTAGAATCTTGATACGGTGCTTAGCCTCCTCCTGGGCTGCTTGAAGATAGAGAGGATGTGCTTCTGCCCGTCGACGAGAAATTTCCTCCCATTCCAGAGCCCTTTGTGCAAAGTATTTGAGGAATGCCCCTGTACGATTCCCATTTTCTGGTTCGTCAATAGAGGCAGGGCTAATATCATCACCTGCTTCTGAAGACATCATCAAAAGGTTGCTTGTATCATCGTCTGACCAGTTCTCATAGAACTCAGGGTAGTCAGATATTACCGTGACAAGGATCTCGTTGCGAAGAATAGGGTCCAATTTCAGCTTATTCTTCATTGCAAGTTGGAGAAGCGTTTTCACATGCTTCTCAGCACTCTCTAGTGAGTGAGATTTCCTTCCCAACTTGATAATGATATTCCTCACTGCATCGGCCATATCTGTGTGTTTTGAAAGAGAGAGTGAAAAAACCCTAGGCAGAGATATTTTAGAGAAGATTAACAGAGAACAGAGTAGTGTTGAGTACTCCTTTTTCACTAAGACCGATCAGATGAAATATATAATCCCAAGGGTGAGGAACGCTAATCAATGCGGCTGACAGGATGCATGAAGCTATGAAGTGATTGATGCAACGGTATAGCTCCTTTTTAGGGATAAAACGGAAGATTTGAAATTTGAAAGATGCAATTTAATTTTGGTAGGCTAGGTTAAGATATTTACTTAACAAAACAGAAGAGAGTTAATTTAGGAAGTCAAAGATTGGAATTTTGACTCGAGGCTGAGAAAACCATTGACTCTCCTTCTGATTTACTGTTTTGCCTTATCAATCCATCCCGCAGATCCCCAGAGCAGATTTGAGAATTTCAAACCGATTTGCGTCTAGAGGCTTAGTCAATATGTCTGCCAACTGCTTGTCTGTCTGAATATATTCCAACTCTACCTCTTTTGCTTCGACGAAATCTCTGATATTGTGATGCCTTATATCAATATGTTTGGTCCTGGAGTGTTGAACAAGATTCTTTGAAATGTTTATTGCACTGAAATTGTCACAGTAAAGTGTCATAGAATTTTGAGAAAGACCATAATCCAGCAGCATCTGCTTCATCCAGACAAGTTAAGTGCAACATCCCCAACTTCTATGTATTCTGCCTCAGCTGTACTCAGGGAAATTGAATTCTGTTTCTTACTGAGCTATGATACTAAGCTTTTCCCAATAAAGAAGCATCCACCGGATGTGTTTTTCCTCTCATCAATGTTTCCTGCCCAATCAGCATCACAGTACGCAATCAGACTCAGTTCACTATCCTTGGAATACCATATTCCATATTGGATTGTACCCTTGATGTATTTCTAAATCTGTTTAGCAGCTATCAAGTGTGACTCTTTGGGAGCAGATTGTTATCTTGCACACATACCAACACTGAACATTATGTATGGTCGACTGGCAGTTAAATAGAACAGGCTTCCAATCAGACTTCGATAGACTGTGGAATCTATTGATGGACCCGCATCATCTTTAAACAGCTTTGTAGAGGTCGAAATAGGAGTCCTAGGTGTCTTACATAATTCCAGATCAAACTTCTTGACCAAGTTCTTAGCATACTTTTCTTGAGAGATAAAGTATCCTTCAGAACTTTGTTTAACTTGAAGCCCTAGGAAGTAAGTCAGTTGACCAACCATGGACATTTCAAATTCTTCCTTCATGACTTCCACTAAATCATCAGTATACTTCTGTAGAGTAGACCCAAAAACAATATCGTCTACGTAGATCTGAGCAATTGTAACATGACTTCCAGTGGTTTTAACAAACAACGTTTTGTCTACACTCCCTCGATCATAACCATGATGTAACAGATACTGTGCCAGTCGTTCATACCACGCCCTTGGGGCCTGTTTGAGTCCATAGAGAGCTTTCCTAAGTTTGTAGACATGAGTTGGATGAACTGGATCTTCAAATCCCTTAGGTTGTGCCACATAAATATCTTCATGCAAATAACGATTCAAGAATGTTGTCTTGACATCCATCTGAAACAGTGTGAAACCCAGAATGCATGTTATTGCTAGTAAGATTTTGATTGACTCCAATCTAGCGAAAGGTGTAAATGTTTCATCATAGTCAACTCCTTCTATCTGAGTATACTCTTGAGCCACTAAACGAGCTTTGTTTCTTGCAATGTTTCCTGCTTCATCAGTTTTATTTTTGAAAATCCACTTTGTTCCGATTATGTTAACCCTGTCAGGTCTTGGAACCAGATGTGATACCCCATATTTTGTAGGCACTGTACGAGGACCATGACTAAATTATCTTTAGTTTCCTAATCCGTATTATCTTAGAAATATTATTCTTTGAGTCTAATAACTTCTTAAACCTAATATAATATGTGCACCTATATATTTTTCCTAATGATAATAATTATTTATATATATATATATATATATATATATATATATATATATATATATATATATATATATATATATATATATATATTTTCCTAATCCAAATATATATTGATGCGTAGTATATTTGCAAACAAATAATTCTCGGAGTACAAGTTATCGATCCACAGGGAAGTGGTTGTATCAAGCACTAGTTACTAACTTATTCATTAGAGCTAATCCTAACAATTACTTAGATGATTGATTGGCATAAAATAAATAAAATAAAACAGAGGTTCAGGATTTTGAAAACAATTAGAGAGAAGTTGAGATTCATGGGATTCAAGTATTTAATCACCTAGTGCCAATTATCGTTTGCAATATTTAGTTTGGAATTAAGATTTGTGTGGGAATGCAAAGTGGAATCGAATTACTCCCGTAATCTCTATTCCTAGTGAATTTCTACTCCCATGGCTTAAACACCCAATAAGATCAAAGATCAGCATTCAATTATTCCTAATTACTACCATCTCCCGATTGGCAACAATCTAGAATAAACTTCCCCTAATAAGTTCCCCTTTCCCAAGGACCAACCATTAGGTGCAATCGTGTGTGCCCTAATTTATGCCCCAACTCCCATTGGTGACACAAACATGGCTATGAAGCTAGTAATTATGGCCATTAATTACAAGCATCAAACAATATTATCACGATTACAACACAAGTATTAAACCCAAATAATAATATATTAAAGAAACTGAGAGCTCAGGCACATAGGTTCATAAACACTTTTACCCAAGAATCTCTAAAGAATTTAGCCAAGCATGACTAAATTATACATAGCAAATATAAATAAAGAATTACAAATCATCAAAAGAGTACAAGAATTAACCAGACGATTTTCCCAAATCTCCCTAGTCTTCTTCTTGCTTTCCAAGACAACTTGTGGCTCTTGATTTCTCTCCTTCTTGTCTCCAAGAATCTCTGAATTCTCTCGGTCCCCGTCCTCACAATAGGGTTGAGGAAGGAGGGATTTTATAGTGGGTACAAAGTTGAGATGAAATAGGAATCTTGTACCAAATTGGACTCAAATTTTAATTCCTATATTTAAATAAAGAAATTGTCGTCTTTAATGATATTTAGAATTTGGAAGATTCCTTGAATTGCTAACTTTTAATATGGAGATATGAGCCTTGAAATCCGCGCAATTGATATTAGGAAAAGAGATCTCGCGCTTGTATTGAATTTTGCCCAGCTGCGCCACTTTAAGCGTC